AAAAAGACAAGTTTGATGTTACTAATAAATCCCATAGTATTTGAAAATATTTTTATGACTATGAATATGAAAGTTCCCATGGAAACATTTGCATTTTGCCACTGCATAAAAAACAAAGCAAATTGCAAATAAGGTAGAGAGAACTTAATTTAAAAAATATTTCACCAAATTTTAACTATTGAATACCTACCAAACAAACCATTGTGGTAATGTTCTCAGCGACTAGCTAACGTGGGAAAAAAAACTTAATTTTTAATTTTAAATAGTTTTCTAAAAGTATAAAAAAATCCTCACTGTAATCTTGGTTTACAGTTTAAAATGTTAATATATGATAATGAGGCTACCTTCTGAATTACTAGTGCAAAGTAATCACTGGGATATTTGTTTTTATATTTTAATGTATCCAATGGAAAGAAATAGTTCTGTAAGTTTGGCAAGAAATAAAAACTTCTGATCATTTTTGTAGTTAAGCTTCTTATGCATTATTCAATACTTATATACTATCGTTTTGCTCTGATACAAATAGCAATCTCACAGAGCACTTACAAAATTTAGAATCCTTGATAGAACAGGAAGGACTCTTACAAGTTACCTAGTATAAAACCTACATTAAAAATTTGTCTCTGGGTGCCTGGGTGGTTCAGTCAGTCAAGTGTCTACCTTTGGCTCAGGTCATGATCTCTAGGTCCTGAGATCAAGCCCCATGCCTAAGGCTTCCTGCTCAGTGGGGAGTCTGCTTCTCTCTCTCTCTTTCTCCCTCTGCCCTACCCTACAACTCATTCTCTCTCTCTCTCTCATAAATAAATAAAATCTTTAAAAAAATTTGTTTCTGAATTATAAAATCAAACATATTCAAAGTATAAGAAAAAAATTATATGTTTGGTATCTATCCATTCATATTTCCTTTGATTCTCCTATGTATTTGCCACTTCTATTTTTCTCTTGGGCCAGTTGCCCTTTCCCCATTGATTTAAGGGGTCTTTTTGTATTAGAGACTGAACCATTGTTTAGCAAATGTGTCACAAAATTTTTTCTAGTTATTTTCTACTACTGTTTACTGTATTTAAGATAATTTTTCCAAATACACGCTTATACATTAACTTTAGACTTGTTCATTTAGTGACTTCTAATTTTCATGATATTCTTTAAAATGTCTACCTCAGTCATTCATTTTTTCTTATACATTTGTGATTTTGTTTAATAAAACTTAAGCCTTTGATTTAGCTATTTTGATTACATTAAGAGTAAAGTCAATAGCCCTATTTCTGATTTTCCAAGAAGCCCACTTACTTCAATATCCTCTAATTTATTTTTCCTTCTGACTTGAAATGATAATACCTTCTGTGGAAGGCAAAATGATTCCCCAAAGATGGCCACATCCTAATCCCCAGAATCTGTGAATAAATTAGGTTACATGGTAAAGAGGAATTAAGGTTGCAGATGGAATTAAGGTTGCTAATCAGATGAACCTGTGATGTGGAAATTATCCTGCATTATCTAGGTGGACCCAGTGTAATCATAAGGATGCTTATAAGTAGAAGAGGGAGAGTCAGAGAGAGATTTGAAGATACTATGCTCCTATACTACACAAATAATGCAGGCAGCTTCTAGAGGATGGAAAAGATAAGGAAATGTCCTCCAGAGCCTCCAGAAGGAACACAGCAATGCTAGATTTTAGTCCAGTGAGACCCATTTTGGACTTAGACCTCCAGAACTATAAGATAATAAATTCATATTGTTTTAAGCCAGTATGTTTGTGTTAATTTGTTAGAGCAGTAATAAAAACTAATATGTTGTATTTTACTAGCAAGGAAATATAGAATTAAAGTGACATTAATTTTCTAATTATTGGCACATTTTGGTTAATATAAAGGGCTCCTTATTTTTAGGCCCACGAGCTAAACTTCTTATATTCACAAATAAAATAAAATTAAAAATGAGGAAAAAAACTAGAACTTAGAAATATAGCACAAATAATTGAAAGGTTTATAAATAAAATGAATAAAAATAGGAGCTAACTGCTATGCAGTCTAACAGTACTAGGGAGATTTATGGTAGATTACCCTAAGGATTGGACGATCAATTCTTTTAACTTTAGAGTATAATTTTTTATGGATGTACATGACATTTTTAGAATTTCTAGAGCCACACAAATGAATGGCCATAATAATGATGCCATAAAATAAAGCTTTTACTTTTCAGAAACTAAGAAACTTTTGAGAAAATTATGCAACCTTATCTTTCTGCTCAATGTATTAGTTCCTTCCACATACAGGTTGGACAGAACAACTTCTCATATCAGTGAAAAGTGTCACGTAAGCAGAGAGAATCTTTCTAAGTGAGCTTTCTCATCATGCATTTTTCTGGTGCGGAGCAAGCATGAAGTACTAGGCTTTAAAAGAGTGTTGAGAGATTTACAGTCAAGATGACACTGTAAGTTTAGGCTTTTATGTACCCATGTAGCACTAAAAATGAATCAATAATACATAAAAACATTAAGAGAGAAAACCAAAAAGACGTAGTCAAACTCAAACATGAGATAAGTCTCCATGGATGAGAAACAGAAGAGAAATGCCAGAAGTTCTGCTAGACTCTAAACCCAAAAGTAAGCATTAGTGGCTAGGATTTTGTTTCTGAAGGCTAACAAGGACAAAAAATATTCTATGCAAGATGGAGAACTGAAACCATATCCACTGATCAAAGCGAGGGCCTGGAGTGGAACTCACCTTCTAAAAGGAAATGAAAAAACACTGTTTATCTGCTGCTTTTGTCATTGTATATATGGAGCTTCAGGCCTAAGCAGAGAGAACAATAGGCACAGCTCTTTGTGAAAAAAAGCAAGCCATTAGGCAGCTTGATGAATAGATCTGCAGTATTGCCAAATCAACACATACTAAGGACTCCAAACTCTATTATAAAACTTTTTTTGGCCTAGGGATCTAGGCAGAGGCAAGCACACAACCACCAGACAAGCAGGGGTGAGCACAGAAGTAGAGAGCGCGAGATAGAAATGCAAAGTAAAATTTCAAAATACATACATTTTGTGTGTGTGTGTGTGTGTGTGTGTATCTAAGAACAACAGCAATAAAATGAACAGAGGAATCCATCCCAGATGAAATTAATTTTAGAGAAGAGTTTAACAAAGATACTTAAATGTTTAGCAAGTTCACTGACATAAAGAAGACAGTTTTCTTTAAAAAAAGAAAAAGATATTTGAACAAAAGAAGACAAAAATAAAAGAAAAAGAGAGCCATAGAACTTGCAGAAATTAAAAATGAAGTTATTGGGATTTTTAAAATCCAATCAATGAAATAAAACTCATTATAGGATATAATGGATACAAAAAAGAGAATTAGCAAACTTAAAGATAACATTGAGAAATTCACCCAAAAAGTAGAACTTAGAAATAAAGAGATTTATTTAAAAAGAAAATAAATAGAGGAGTTAAGGGTTGATATTTATCTAAAAAGAGAGATCAAGTAAGAGACTGAAAAGCTTTACTATGTGTCTAATAAATATTCTAACAGAAGATAGTGGAGGGAATGGTAGAGAAACAATTCTTGAAAAAATACCTGAGAAATTTCCAAACTCAAGACAGACATAGTCCTCAGATCAAGAACACTCTAAACACCATGTAAAAAACTGAAACTAAATTCATACCCAGGCATATCCTAATGAATATATATAACATTAAAAATAAATATCAAAGGGACTCTTGGGTGGTTCAGTCGTTAAGCGTCTGCCTTCGGCTCAGGTTATGATCCCAGGGTCCTGGGATCAAGCCCCGCATCAGGGTCCCTTCTCCACGGGAAGCCTGCTTCTCCCTCTCCCACTCCCCCTGCTTGTGTTCTCTCTCTCGCTGTGTCTCTCTCTGTCAAATTAATAAACAAATAAAATCTTTAAAAAAAATAAACATTAAAAATATGAGATACATCTATACACCACTAGAATGGCTAAAGTACAAGGAGTAACTAGAACTCTCATATATTTTTGGTAGGAATGTAAAATTGGACAACCACTTTCAAAAATATCTTTGCTATTTCTTGCAAAATAAAACAAACATGTCTGTATGAACCAGAAATCACATTCCTAAATATTGTCCTAAGAGAAATAAAAGCCTACACCTACACAAATTTCTGTGAAGATCTATTTATAATAGCCTCCAAACTGAAACAACTAAAAAATTCATCAACTGGTGGATGGTAAGTGGATAAATCAATTGTGGAACATCCATACAGTGGAATGCAAATTAGCAATAAAAGCACACAGAGTATATATATATACAACAACATGAATAAATCTCCAAAGTATTGTACTAAAATAGAAATCAAACATAAAATCCTATATCATCCCATTTATGTAACATTCAGGAAAAGAGAAATCCATAGATAGTAATGAGATCACTGTCAGAGATTGGAGATGTGGGAGGGGTTGAATAACAAGGGACATGAAAGAATTTGGGGGTTGATGGCAATATTCTATATTATTGAGTTATACACATGAGAAGAGTTAATTTCCCTGTATGTACAATACGCCTCAATAAACCTGAATTTTTAAAAAAGAATAAAGAATATTAAAAGCTACCAGAAAGAGAAAAGGAACACATTTTAACCTACAGCAGGCCTCTCCTGAAGAAATAAATGGCAACTGAAGGCAATAAAGTAATAGCTTTAAAGTACTGAGGGAAAAAATTACAAACCTGATATTTTATATCCAGTCAAACTATCATTCAAGAATGAGGCAAAATAATTACATTTTCAGATATACAAAGGCTAAGAGAGATTACTACTTATGGATTCTCACTAGAACTAATAAAAAATGTCTTTCAGCAGTAACTGAAATAAAACCAGCAGGGATGTATGAGATTTTTTTAATGGTGTATTAAAAATTAATGAAAATAAATTTAATCAGTCCTGCATAAGAAAATCACTACTTTTGTATTTTAAAAAATCAAGCAATTGTGGCCCCTCCCGTCTCCCCCCAAAAAAGTTTGAGTCGCCGCTGCTGGGTTGCCAGCGGAGTCTCGCTTGGGGAGCTACGTAGGGCAGAGAAGTCATGGCTTCTCCGTCCAAAGGCAATGACCTGTTTTCGTCTGATGAGGAGGGCCTGGCGATGGTGGCTGGGCCGGGCCCTGGGCCTGGGGGAGCGGAGGGGGCCACCGAGGAGTGCCGCGTCAAGGTCTCCAGCCTGCCCTTCAGCGTGGAGGCGCTCATGTCCGACAAGAAGCCGCCCAAAGAGGCGTCCCCACTGCCAGCCGAAAGCGCCTCCGCCGGGGCCACTCTGCGGCCACTGCTACTGCCCGGACACGGCGCCCGGGAAGCCCACAGCCCTGGGCTGCTGGTCAAGCCCTTCGAGACCGCCTCGGTCAAGTCGGAAAACTCAGAAGACGGAGCCGCATGGATGCAGGAACCCGGCAGATGCTCGCCGCCGCCAAGACACATGAGCCCCACCACCTGCACCCTGCGGAAGCACAAGACCAATCCGAAGCCAAGAACGCCCTTTACCACGTCCCGGCTCCTGGCTCTGGAGCGCAAGTTCCGCCAGAAACAGTACCTCTCCATTGCAGAGCGTGCAGAGTTCTCCAGCTCTCTGAACCTCACAGAGACCCAGGTCAAAATCTGGTTCCAGAACCGAAGGGCCAAGGCGAAAAGACTGCAGGAGGCAGAACTAGAAAAGCTGAAAATGGCTGCAAAACCTATGCTGCCCTCTGGCTTCAGCCTCCCTTTCCCCGTCAACAAGCAGCATCCATATATGGAGCCTACCCTTTCCATAGACCTGTGCTCCCCATCCCGCCCGTCGGACTCTATGCGACTCCAGTCGGATATGGCATGTACCATCTATCCTAAGGAAGACCAGCTCCATAGACTCCGTTGATGGATGTTTGTTTAAATGGGTCCCC